TCTCACATTTGTTTCCCAAACAAGAGGATAGAATAACCCACTATTTTGTCTTCATATCTCTCCTAAATTATTCAAACAAGAAGAGATCACCATCCTTTCTTTTCGCCTATCCTAGTTTGGCAAATGCATTAGCATGCCCTTCACTAAGGATCTCTCTTTCTCAACCAAAATGACTCAGATACAGCTCATTTCTTATCATTCAAATCCCTTGCATTGTTTACTACCCTTTTACCCTTTGTCACTGGCACAAAGAAAAAATGAAGACGAAGAAGAAATAGAGAGTAGAAACTTATTGTTAATTACATTTATGCATCAATTGTGTATATTATTTTCTAATTTTTCTTATAGGGTTTCAACAGTTTGTTAAAGATCACTTTGAAGGTAAAGGCTCCCAAGATGGACAACATTGTAGATGCTTTAAATAATGCATACCAGGAGTTTGTTGCTGCAGCAGCTGGTGTGCTTGAAGCTAAGGAGAGTTCCGGTGGCCAGAAAACAGCAGTTACTGTTGCTGCTCTAGAAAACTTTAAGCAGTGTCAAGAACTGTTCAGAGTGGCTTGTGATCAAGCTGAAGAGTTCGTGGAGTCTGTGAAGCAAAGGGTAGGGTCGGAGTGCCTGGTTGATGAAGCCACTGGCTCGGTGACTGGAAAGCCAGGGCAGGCTGTCACAACTGGTCTTCCGCCTATCAGTGCAGTTAGGTTGGAACAGATGAGTAAAGCGGTCCGGTGGCTGGTGATTGAACTTCAGCAGGGTTCTGGAACTGCTGGAGGTTCATCGCATCCCCATCCTTCTGCACCTTTTGATGCTAGATTTTCTGAGGATGCAGCTCAATAGGTATACAGACAATTAAGGTCGTCTTTGTTCTAGATCTTTTTGGAAGTAGATGATATTTTTATTGCATCATTGCAAGATATTATAGTTACGAGTCACGACCATACATTTTGTGCAAACACTTGCATTGTCAAAGTGCATTTAATTTTTAAGTGAACAAGGGTTAACTGCCATTGCTTGTTTCTGAATTTCTTGATGTTTCTAATTTTCTGTTTAACTCTGGCGTGCTGCATTATCCATTACATATTTTTTTTAGATCTTTCTTACGTTGCTTGCATGCCTTTTTATGGTTCTTGTTTGTGTTGGGGTTTTCTTACTATTTGATTTTCATGGTGCTATGATTTAAAGTGCTGATCCTCTGTATTGTTAATTTTATCGTTCACAATATACTTTTTTTGCCAATTCTAATTTCCCTTTTTTTTTTCAACCTCTTTACGTATATGGTGAAAAGGTCAACCAGGCTCGTTAGATATTGGTTTTAAAATGCTATTACCCACTGTCATGACCCATTATTGGGCTTATAAATGAGGGGTGCTGGGAGTGTGTAGTGGATTTGGATTTGAGTGCCTTAACCTAAGAAGCACGGGTATGAACACAGACACGGAGAGAGATTAAATCTTTGAGATAGTCACTTGTTGATGTTGTCTGGGTCTGGCCCTTGGAGATTGTTGCTCTTTGTGGTGGAATCAATTGATGACCAGTGATTTAGGGCGGAATCATCTATTGGATTTCATACGTGTACTCCACTGTAAACTCTTCAATCAAAAAAATTTCAAAATCAAATCATGGAGAAACTTTGTAGAATTATATAAAACTATACAGCTTGTTTGATTCTAATTTTTAAAACATAGTTTTCAAAAAAATTTATTTTTTTATTTTAATATTTTTAATAATTTTTTTTAATATTTTAAGTAATTATTTTTAATTTTTAGACATACCTAACATAAATATATTTAAAAAGTATAATATTTGTGAAAGAAAAAAATCTTTAAAAAATACATAAAATATCAAAAAATATATTAAAAAAATACGACAATTCAATACATGTTTCGTATTTTTGTGTATTTATTAGCTTTTTAAAATATTTTTTCACAAATATTTTACTATTTAGATGCATCTAAGTAAGGTGTGTCTAAAAAAATATAAAAAATTACTTAAAATTAAGAAAATACTCACTAAAAATATGAAAAATAAAAAGCTCAGTTTTTAAAAAACTGAATTCAGAAAATTGAAACCACACACACTGATAAGTATTATTGATCTCAGTGATTCTATGACATAGATCTTATCCACATTTTTTCAAAAAATAAAAAATAAATGCAGCCAAGTCTATATTATTTTTTGTTTCTTTATTTTTTTTAGCTTCTGCATTTAATTTAATTAAGTTTTGTTCGGAATGCAAATTTTTTTTTTATTTTTTAAGAAAAAATATGTAAAAAAGAATGAAAAAAGAATTTTAATTTTGTTATATAATTTTTTTGACTATATTTGCCAAATGGATAAAATAAATTGCAATTAATGCAAGGATTATGACTGGGGTCATTTTACGAAGTTTTTTTTCAAAAAAATATATTTTATTGAAAATAATTTAAAATAATTTGATTTTTCATAGCAGTGCAAGTGGGCGAACATAAAAATTATATTTTACTTTATAATTTTAACTGGACCTTTATTGAAAGGGCATTTATTTTAAATTATTATCATTGAAACATAAAATGTTCAGAATTTTATTTTTTTTTAAAAATTTCTTCAATATTATTTTATCTCAATTCAATGCAGAGTAAGATCATTTTTAATGGTAAATATCAAATTTAAATTTTATTGTCAAATTTTAACTATACTATAAGATCTTATTTTAATATTGGCTTATTTTTTTTTGATACAATCATCATCTCTGCCCAAATTTCATGGATAATAATATCAAAATTTGACAATTTCAATAATAATTTTATTGGTGCACCCAACTACTATAATATATAGTTATGGCAGTTCTATTAGCCAATTTCACTGAAATGAAAAAAAAAAAGAAGAAAAAAGTAGTCCATTTTGGGCGATCTTATTTTAATATTGGCTTATTTTTTTTTGATACAATCATCACCTCTCTGCCCAAATTTCATGGATAATAATATCAAAATTTGACAATTTCAATAATAATTTTATTGGTGCACCCAACTACTAGCAATGAAAAAAAAAATCATGTTATTATTATACTATTAGCCAATTTCACTGAAATGAAAAAAAAAGAAGAAAAAGTAGTCCATTTTGGGCAACAAAAAACAATACGGTTATTATTATACTATTTTTGAGATAGGATTTTTTAAAATCTAAATAGTTGGTTTGAAAAATCATGTTTGAAGTTAAATTCTGAAAATATATTTTAATTAATTTGTTATGATTTTTTTAAAATCATAGTTTTAAAACAAAATCTCAAATTAAAATTTTAGAAAAAAGCTTAAAAATAAATTCAAATTTACTTACATTTTAGAAATAAATAGGATGAATTACACTCATTTCTCTTAAGATTTGGAAAAAAAAAAAATAGTTAATTTAACATTTTTGACAAAAGTACATTGTTCTTTTCGTAAGACTAAATCGATCGAAATTAATGCAATTGTAATAAACAAAGACAAATACATATGTTAGTAAAAAAGAGATAACAATAATATTTTTAAATTAGTGTTGAAAAGGGCCTAACTGTTATTGAATTAAAAATTCAAGAGAAACAAATATAATTATGTTAAAAATGTGGGACTAAATGTAGGCTCATTGGGCATTAGGTTTGTTGGTCGAAAAAGCAAAAAAATTAAATTGCCACATATATCAATTAATTTTTTTTTCACAATTATTTATTCACACAAAATATTATTCAGAAATAATTTTTTATTTGATAAAAAAAAAATCACTAAAAGAGTCAAATTTCCAAATGGGATCACTCTTTTTTTTTTTGGTTTGAAATTTTCAAAAATAATTTTATGAATTTTCAATCTATATTTATTATTAGCCACTACTCCGCACCTCTTTTGTTGCCCAGTTCCCTTCTTATCATTTCTCACAACCTTCTTACCTCTCATTATCTCTAGCTTCTTCTGTCTACCTAACCTGCTTTTGAGGGTTTTGGTAATTGGTTTTTGTAGAGGCTTGTTTTTGGGAACTAACGATTATAGTTAGTTTTTTTAGTTTTGTATAAGAAGAGAAATAAAAAAATATAAAAAATAAAAAAACTCAATTTTTAAAAAATTAAAACCAAACACCCTGAGTATTTTTTGTGAGTGTATGTCACTATGGCATTGGTATTTTATCATAAAATATATAATTTAATCATAAAATTTTATAACGTTAATCACAAAATGCATAATTTAATCATAAATTAATATAACAAAAAAATATTATAACCAAAGTCACAAAAATATTTTATTACTCTAGTTTGTGACGAATAATAGTACTCCCTCCATCCCAAAATATTAGTTCTTTATTCCATTTTTTATTGTCTCAAAATATTAGTCTATTTTCAAAAATTTAGTTTAAAAATAATATAAATTTCTCATTTTACCATTCTTTTAAATTCATTAATAATATAAAAAGTACAATTATATTTTCATCAAAAGATAATTTTAAAAAATTAATTTTTTAAAATGTAATAATTATACTATCAAAAAAATTAAATCCTTAAAAAAAAGAATTTAGACTTTGAAAACTTGGTTTTGGGGTTTTTATTTTTATTTTTTTCACTACAAAACAAATATTTTACAAAACTAAAAAAAAACAAATCAAAACAAAAATATCACATTAAACCTCATAATCATTTCACTTTTCCTTTCACAAGCATCACATCCAACAAAAAAAAAAAAATCCAACTATCTTTTTAAACCCAAAAAATTTCTACTCCAATAAAATCCTACAATTAAATAAACTCACTTCCCAAGACTCAAGATTTTGGCCGCGGATACTTTCTGTTGGATATTGACATATTGTGTAGTTGATGAGAACTTTGGGAAATGTAGCTGACATTTGCCTTTCATCGCATAAAAACAACGATCGACAAAAAAAGCATAATTACTCGAGAGAGAGAGAGAGAGAGAGAGAGACTGAGAAGTGGAATTTCATCGAAGAAAGTTGAGCAATCGGATGTACAGAAATAGAAGTGGTTGAAGCATAAAAATCGTCATCGACAATGGCTTCCAAGAGGCATTTGCAGAGTTTGTTCAACAGATTTCAGGGAAAGTAGAATTATTAGGAGTTTTGGTGCTCTCTCTGAAAAAACCATGCCTTCCTCTTCTCAACACCTCATTAATTTGGAATATGAATGCAGTGCCCACAAGTAATCTCTCTCTCTCTGAGATCCTTTCTATATAGTCTGTATCTGCATACACAATTTTATTTTTATGTTTATGTTTATGTTTGTGTTTGTAAATTTGTATTTTCTTTTTGGTATCTCATATTGGATATGATGTTTGGTTTGGATAGAATTATTGATGGCTTAGGATACTTCTATTTTAGTGGTGCTTGGATTGAGTGATTTGAGTAAGAAATTAAGTGAAAGAGAACTCTTTTCTTATATAAGTGAAGTGAGAAATGGTAAGAATTTGCGACAAAGAGAGCTATTTTAGTGGTCATTTTGGTCCCTATACCTTCCACTGGCTCAATTTTGAGCTTAATTTTAGATTTTGTGTCAATTTAATCCAATTGATAACCTCGTTAGTGTTTTTGATACAAAATTATTACTGAATTGGTTAAGGTTAATCACAGAGTTGAGTAACTTTATAATTTTACCCTAAAAAACATGACATATGCCACTTATGTGAATATTTTCCATAAAAAAAATACTATGAGTTGTAATCAGTTGGACCAAATTGAGACAAAATTATAAATTCAAGGTCAAAATTGAGCCAAATGAAATTATAGGATCAAAATGACACAAGGACTAAAATACAGGACTACGGTCATAATTTGTCCTATTTATTTTATAGGTTTTATTTCTCATCGAAAGTGGTGAGAGATTTTGTGGGAAACAAACGGATATTTGGTGGTGAGATTTAGTGAGGAACAGGCTTATTGGTTTTATGTCTCATCAAAAGGGCCAGTGCTGTATGTCAGGCCCTTCCCCATTGCAACTTCAGAGATCTAAGTTTTGCTTAATTGCAAAGATATAAAATTGAAAAAAGTTTACATAATGTTAAGCTGATAAAGTATTTCTACTCTTTCTAAGAAACCGTGGCTAAGAAACTATTATGTATGGTTGCTTATGTTGAGTTCTATCTTTTGAACCTGCATCACTTGTTTCAGAGAGTTGTGAAATATAAAATATACAATTGCCTACTCACATTTGTTTTGAAGTTCGGTTGGATGCATTCGTGCTTAGAACCCAAATTGCAGAATAAGGCTGCTACAGGACAAAGAATCCAGAATTATAATACTTACTTACCAGTCTAAAGTTCCTTTATCATGTATATTTTCTGAAACAAGATCAATAAACAAGAGGCCAGAAAAACCATTGGGAAAAACCACCGTGAAGACAGATAGAGGATCCATTGTACTTGAGCTTGCAACTTCAATAGAGTACTTGTCATTCTGATTTGTTGTCATCTGCTTTCTCTGTTAAATTGTGAAGGAAGAAACATGATTGAAACACCCCTTAGCTCATTTGAATGACCTCTTCCTTATTCCCTAGAACAGTGTAACTTTTATGCTGAAGCAATTTTCTTGGACAAAAAAGTTCAAATGGTGCCAAGTTTCCCCTTAAGTTATCATTTTAATAATTTTTTTCTAAAAGATCAAGTACAGTAGTTAGCTTTTGTATTAGAAAAAAATACTGGAAGAAATGCATAATATGGTATACTACCACAAACTTATCAAATATATGTAGTATACTACCACAAGCGATAATTTGATAGAAGAATAACAGCTTTCCACACCAAAAAGAAAGAACGATTTATTGTTATAGATAGGCCAAGCTCATTGTGTTTTGTATATATTGCATGCGTCTTGCTAACAAAGAAAAAGACAAAAATTAAAAAACAAAAAGCACTTTTCACCAATTTCAAAACACTTTTCACCAATTTCAAAACACTTTTCATTGATTTAAATTTTTTTTTTTTAAAAACATTTTCACCATTTCCAAAATGCATTTTACACAAATTCCAATATTGAAGCTTGCCCCAAGGCACTTGTTAGCATTTGCCTATGAAGCATGGACACCTTTTCGGAGGTTGCGTACAGGTGTCCGACACATGTTGGACATGGACACGCTCCAAACACGTGTCAGACACGCTGGAAAGAGTTGGACATGCTGGGACACTTTGGACACGCTGCGGACACTTTGGGACACACTGAAGACACGCTAGGGACACGTTGAGGACACGCCGGGGACACTTTAAGAACACGCTGAGTATTATTTTTTTCAAAAAAAATTATAATTTTTAATTTGTTTGCTAAAACAGCATACCTAAAGTTGATAAAGTTGATGAAAATTAAATATTTAACATAAAATACATATTAAATATTTAAAAATATCCATATAATAAAAATATAAAAATATATATTTTGAACGTGTTCCCAACGTGTCGTGTCGTGTCCTGCACTTTTTGAAAATTTACGTGTCCGTATCATGTCCGTGTCATGTCATGTGTCCATATCCGTACTTCTTAGGCATTTGCCCTGTTGTATAACATCCATCATTGATGTGGGTTATTTAATGTGTCTTGGTGGATTTTTACTTATCTAAGCCACTTTTCTGGCTGAATCGCAGTTATCACCCCGTTCCGATTGTATTCTCTCAAGCGAAGGGATCATCTATATGGGATCCTGAAGGCAACAAATATCTTGATTTTCTCTCAGCCTACTCTGCGGTTAATCAGGTGAGATTTAGGGGCTGTTTATTTTAGTTAGTTATATCTTCATATATACCTTGTCAGAGAACCAACATTGTACTGGATGTATCCTTTTGCCTGCCAGGGGAGGGTTTAACAAGTTCATCTTGGGAGGCCAATGTAAATAGGAAGGTATAATTGAAAAAAGAAAAAAGAAGATGAAGTGTTTTTAAAATTATATGCATGCTAAAGGCACTTACCTACTTGAGTAAGCTATATTGCCCAACTGAAAAAGTGGTTACATATGACATTGAAATTTCACTTAAATTGTCAAACTTCTACAATTTTCTGAGAAAATTGGCCATTGGACTCTAAAGCTTAAAATTTGTAGAAATTTTCAAATAAGTTAAATGACAATGAAGAAACTTGAATATATATATATATATATATATTTATGAGATTAAAAAAATGAGAAATACAGGTTTTTATTTTAAAACAAGTTTGCAGCTGAGGGGAAATTGAATTCGTAAGCCATGCCTACTAGAGGCAATTCAAAGGTTATGATTGTGTGATCAAATTTTCAAATAAATAATCTCAACTATGAAATGTTTCTATTATACTTGAATGAGGTATGAACTGTCAACCATTTAGACACCATGATTACATTTCGTGCATTCCCATTTTTTTTTAATGGGTATCCATAAAAAAGAAAGAAAGAAAGAAAGAAAATTCTTGTAAGGTTAGTCCAAAGATTGTAAAAAGCTTAAACAGGGTTTCTGAATCGATAAACACATAATACTCATGTTGTATTCTAAGGCAAAAGCACTAGCAAATCTTCTTACACAATAGCTGTGGCGCTGGGGCCGTAGTTGTTGATTCATGATATGTGTTGTGTGTTGTTTTCATATCTCTCCATATCATGTACCTCGACTTATTTATTATGTACTTTTAAGATTTTTTTTTACCATCTTTAAAATAGGTAGAGAACAATTATATATACAAATCAGAAGTGTCTTGCAAGAGTGAAGGATTAAGTAGCATGATCACAACTTGCCATTGAATTGTTCTCTATAGTAATATTTTGATAAAAACTCTCTTTAGCGCTACTTTTTTCTTAAAATTTCCAAAAAAAAAAAAAAGAGAAGAAATTGAAGAGTGCTTGTGTCTTGTGTATCTGCATTGCATTTCCACATGCTTTATGGAGATGTATACATTTGCATCAGAGAGGGCAGCCTATGGAATAATATAGAAGTTTGTTGTAGGAAATGAATACTTCTGAAGGGATTATTTGTTCTTTACATCTGTCTTGATACCAACATGTTGATAGAGCCCAAAGGCGATGAAGAGATCCGTCTATAAACATTTATAGCCTACACTTGAATGGACTTATTGTATTGGTTCACTTCACTTTCTTTTTATTGCATTGCATAGCAAACAGAGGTTAAGTTTTAACTTAATAGCTTCTTTCTGCAGGGACATTGTCATCCAAAGATTGTTAAAGCATTACTAGAACAGGCAGAAAGGCTCACTCTTAGCTCTAGAGCCTTCTATAATGACAGATTTCCAATATTTGCAGAGCATCTAACTAGCATGTTTGGTTATGAAATGGTCTTACCAATGAATACTGGTGCCGAAGGTGTAGAAACAACTCTGAAGTTGGCAAGGAAATGGGGCTATGAGAAGAAAAAGATTCCCAAAGATGAGGTACCAAATACGTCTTCATCCCGATGTCTTATGCTTAAAAACAGACAAAGAATATTCAAACTTTTTGGCTTGTGCTTCTTCAAAGTTTTATTATTTATTTATTTATTTTGGAAAAGGAACTCACATACTTGATTTAGGTGTACTAGTTATGATAATCATTTATAGAAAATTCCTCGATCCGTCTCCTTCTTTATCTTAGACTCCAAATGTCTATTTTAAACATACCTAAAATTTCTGGAGTCATGTTGGTGGAATCTTTAATTTCATTTAGCAATGTATTTTTTTCTTTATTTTCATCCCTTTCTACAAATTTCTGGGGTTCATTAATCCAGATAGCAGTCTGCATTTATTATTGCATTGTTTATTGGGTCTTGCAAAACAAGTGCCCATAGGGCACAATGAAAGACAAAAAAGGTGAAGAACACGATGCGCCTTTATTAAATTGAATACACTTTTCATTGAAATCAATACGCTTTTAATCTTTTCACCTATTTTCAAGACACTTTTCACCCCAATTCCAATAGTAAACAATGCCTCGAGGGCATTCGTTAGCATTTGCCTGGTTTATTAGGGGTATTTATTCATAAATACCTCTTTACGTACTTATGTTCCACTTAGTCCAAATTATTTTTTTATATTCTAATAAGTTCTATGGTTGACATAGTTACCAAAATACCCCTAATAATAATAAGGTAAAGCGTGCATTAATGTTCACATTGATAGTGTGTATGTTCCATGATGTAAACATTCACACTATAAAATTTATTTAATGTGAATGTTCATATCACCAAGTTGCTAAGGGTACAAAAAATATTTGTAAGGGTAAAATTGTCCATAAAATACCTTAAATATGAGAATTAGGATTTGGTAGATCAAATGTCCTAAATAATAGGACTTATTAGAATACAATAATATCTTATGAACTAATTGGGATACAAGTACTTGAAAGAGGATTTTCTAATAAATTTCCCGGTTTATTATGGCAATTACTTTTTTAACATTTTAGCATTTAATGTTTTTTGTTGGCTTGTTGCCAAGTAGTATAACATCCTATTGCGCTTTCGATTTTTTTATTCAAATAATGTCTTTCGTAGGCTATCATTGTCTCGTGTTGTGGCTGCTTCCATGGTCGTACATTGGCTGTTATTTCTATGAGCTGTGACAATGAGGCTACTCGTGGTTTTGGGCCCTTGTTGCCTGGCCACCTCAAAGTTGATTTTGGTGATGAAGTTGCTCTTGAGAAGATATTTAAAGGTTTCTAAACATGGGAATTTTGTCAATTATGATGATATTTTTAAATTACAATGAAATATTTTGCTCACAACTTTGGGCCTAAGAAATCTTGTTCTTATGAAATGCCATGTTATGTCAACTTTGGCAGATTAGAATATGAATGATGCAAATATATTATTTCTCTTTCATGGTATGCAGAAAAAGGAGATCGGATAGCCGGATTTCTTTTTGAACCTATCCAAGGAGAGGCTGGGGTATGTGTCCTTGGTAACTTAAAATATGATCAATTTGGAAATGTGCTTTTATTTTATATTTTCATTCAATCAGAGCAACAAGCAATGATAGGATAATAATTTATATATTATAATTTGTCGCTTCTAGCCAAACTGGCTCATTATTTTAGGCTAAGTCGTAGCCATTTTCTTCAATCTCAATGGAACATATATATTATTTATTTTTATTTTTTGTGATATACTGTTTGAAACAAGGTCTATGGTAGTTTGGCCTGCCCTAGCTGGGGCATGGATGTATAATTTAGTGATTTATTTTCTGTTTCTTAATTTCTTTACCTTTAGATAATTTTATTTCTCATACTTTGTTGTTAGGTTATAATTCCTCCAGATGGTTATCTAAAAGCTGTCAGAGATCTTTGCTCAAAATACAATATTTTAATGGTTGCTGATGAGATACAAACTGGCTTGGCACGGACAGGAAGAATGCTAGCTTGCGATTGGGAAGAAGTTCGCCCAGATGTTGTAGTAAGGCCTTTTATCATATTAGATTCATACACCGCACTATTTGATTTGAATGTGGCTAACTTTTAAGTTTTAACCCTATTGTTTATATTATATCTGAAACCATATCAACCAAGTCAACTAAATCTATCGGTAAATATATTTTAACTCTTTGCTTTAGAAATTTTCTTTGGTAAGATATTTGCTTCATGAATTTGGTTTGCAAGTTGGTCCTTCTCTGTAGATGTTTTATTTATTCCTTTTCTACATCTCAAGGTATGGATCTTCTCTACAGCACCAAGAAAAGGGCTTAGTTACAAGAAGAGAGAAATTTCAATGTGGCCAAGATCTACATTTTTTATTTTATTTTCAGTTCTGTCATCATGTGTCATAAATTTAAAGTCTAAAACACTTGTTTTCGAGAGGTTGTCGTGGCAACTATGTAACTTGATCCAAACCAAGTGATGAAATCAATCTAGGATGTAACTATCCTCAAGTTCAGCCCGCCAATTACGCTAGTATGAAGACCTTTCATTCTTTTATACATGTATTGACATCTCAAGAAAAATGCCTATTTTCTCAGTGTGTGCGAGGCAATATTCTTTCAAACTTTGTGTTACTAATACTATATGAAACCCTGGATTGTCTAAAGTATCTGCGAATATTTTATTAACAGCTTAAATTTGCTTCCATGCTGTAAGATAACTTATTTTATGGTTACATTGTTCAGATACTAGGAAAAGCATTGCGTGGTGGAGTGGTTCCTGTAAGTGCAGTGCTTGCAGACAAAGATGTTATGCTTTGTATCAGGCCAGGAGAGCATGGAAGGTCAGACTTATGACTGCCTCACTTTTATTGATAAATTTGTTGGGTCCATTTTCGTTTCCCTGCCATTGAATTTGAATGTTGCTTACTTAACAAATTACAGTGTTAAGCTGCCAAGACCTATCTTGATTTTGAAAAGTAGCCAAGTACCCAAATCCCAAATGCAGTTCAATCACAGATAGACTGGTTACAGCTTTTGTTTGAGTTAGGCGTGGTTATTATTCCATTTATTTTGGGTTATTACTGTGTCGTAAGCATAGTCTATTGGTACATGGAAACTTGGAATAAATCTTTGGGGTTCATTTCTCTGCATGATGTGTTTGACTGGTTCGATATGTCATGCCACCTCTGGAATATAACTTGGTGGGGGTGGTGGGCCAGGTCTAGTTTGGCTGCCACACAATTGAATTTTGAGAAGTCATACGAACAGAACTCAACAAATGAAAGAACGAGTTTATGGATGTCAAGCATACATTGTCTACTTTTCTTGTTGAAGGAAATAATGGCTATGATTTAGCTAGAACATTACATTCCCCCAGTTAGCTAAAAAAGAACAAGCTGCTCTTTTTCTTTTAATTTTTTTAGTTTCCCATCTCAATTTTGATGCTAAAAAGTAGGGATAAAGTTCTGGTTCTAATACATGAATTCCCTATTGAATCGTGCTTTACTTGAACATCATGAATGGACTCATTTTAGCTTCTAATATAACTGTCACTTGATTCAAAACATTAGGCTTGTAGTAGCTCTTCCTGACCAACTCGAAACTGTTCAAATATGATATTTAGGAGATTATAAGGTTACACTGGTATGTTCATCAGCTTATGTGGGGAGGCTTTGTTTTCACATACAACTTTCTCTCAGTTCACATACCATTTTTCATTCGGAGGTTGATTTCTAAACAAAACTACATGGTTCCGAAATCAACTTCCAAATGAAAACCAATAGTTCCAAAATCAACCAGAGATATAGCTGAATCATAAAGTTTTGTTCGGAAGGTGATTTCTGAACTGAGATAATGTGTGTGTGAAATAGAAGCTCCCGTTTATGTCCGATCTGTATTATCTTTTTCACTCTGTCATTCATAATATTGCTATGAGGCTGCATTTTGCAGAAGCTGACATGGTTTTGATTTTACATTGTTATCAGCACCTTTGGCGAAAATCCTTTGGCTAGTGCAGTTGCTGCTGCTTCACTAGAGGTTATCAGAGATGAGCGACTCGCTGAGAGGTATTAATCCTATTCCCTGGTGTTTAGGATAGCAAGACTTAATGCTATAATCATCAGACACGGGGCACTTGAAAGAAACTAAATTCAGAGAGTGTTCATTTGATTTGATTTATTTTTTATTTTTAAGTTTGATTTTCTATTATATATACTATTAGTACATTGAGTGAACTCCCTAATATTTTAAATGTCAGTTCTTCTAGTTGGCGGAACAAAAAGTGAATTTCTTGTGCTTGGCATTCGTAAGTTGAGTTTTGTCATCAATTGTTTATCTTGTGCTTTACTCGATTTGCTTGGCTTATTATTGGGCTTGCAATGGTTGCGCTGGCATTTAGCTTCACTTAGCTCATTTAGCTAATGAGCTCTACTCTGATGTTCAAGCTCGGCTCATTTTACTAATGAACAACACATGAATGAGCTTTTTAGCAAGCCACACCCATGCTGTCATGAACAACTTGGTTCATTTGCAGCTCTACAGGCTTCAATCTATGAAAAGTTATTAAACTACTTAGATACACTTAACCCCTTGAGTTTGTGATATTATCACTCCTAGCCCCTTCATCTGGGAATCTAACTTGGTCTTCCCTGTTCAATAATGTAAATTTGTTACTGTGGTCTCTCTCTCTCTTCACTACTTGTTACTCTGCAGATCGGCAAAAATGGGAGAGGAGCTTAGGCATCAGCTAAACAAGGTTCAACAGCAATTCCCTAATGTTATAAAGGAAGTGCGGGGAAAAGGCCTGTTTAATGCTGTGGAGCTTAACACCAAGAATTTGTTCCCCGTCTCTGCTTATGATATATGTATAAAGTTGAAGGAAAGAGGAATTCTTGCAAAGCCTACTCACGATACCATTGTTCAACTTACTCCTCCCCTTTGCATGAGGTAAGGATCGATGCTTGGTGAATGTTTTATGGTTTCAATATGTTAAAATCTTATATTTATTCACAGGATCATCATGGTTTAGTGACGTCTTCACCGGGCATACCCTGTTGACAACTGTGTCAGTCCGAAGTTTTCAATTGTTCATGCCACTTTTGAAGTGATGCATTGAGCTCAACTCAGTGAAGCGTCATACTAAGTATTTGGATTGACCATGATAACCCTTTATGTTCTCCACTTTTCCCTGGATGTTGTAATTCCCCTTGCTCCCGAGCACGGAATACAACAATTTAAAAAAAAAAGGATTTTGACTTGGCGACAAAAATGTGACTTTGTTTTATGGAACTAAATACTTCGCATAAAAAAATACATGACAAAAGGAGCAAATTTTAAATGAGAATGCTGTATTGCACGAGTGGCGTGTAGAGTTAGATTAAAAAGAATACATACGAGACCCGAGATAATACCAAATGAGGTAAATATAAAAGTTTGTTGACTTTGTTTTGCGCAGTGACTTGTTTTACTGATATATATCTTGTGTGTTTCCAGTTTCCCAGTACTGAATGTTTTCCTAAATTTCTGAATTTGTCGTACACCCGTACAGAATTCACATGTTTTAACTGTTAATACTTCTCTTATTTATATTTTGCACGGTCTATAACCGAATTTCTGAGATAGATACAATTAATGGACTGGATGATAAGAAATTAGTGTCCATAGCTTCCTATTTGTACTTCGTTTTTACATATTTGATGTCATGTGATTTTCTGACCTAATTCGAAACTTTCAGCTTGGAGGAGCTCCCAGAGGGCTCAAAGGCACTGCACGACGTTTTGCAAATCGATCTGCCAGAGATGTAGAAGTCAAAGCCGAAAACAGTTCCCCCAACAACCTCAGATGTATGTGACCGGTGCGGCCGAAACTCCTATGATTCATCATAGGAACTCTGAATTACAGCCATATCGTTACCTCTTATACTTTTATATATTGCACCTGGTACTCAAGAGCTGTGGTTTTTTTTTTTTTTTTTTAATATTAGCCAGAATAAAATAATGCTGAGACTTCTTCACTAAGTTTGGATGTTGTTTCTTATGATTATTTTTCGTTTCATGTTTATAAAAAATTTTAAATTGTGAATAAAATTTTGTTGGGTACCAATTTCCGTTTTCAAAACATTATAGACATATCATAAAATTTTTGTAACTAAAAAAAAAGTTTTTCATTTGTTTTGAAAATAAGTTTTCTTTTTCTCCCACCTCCTTTTTACTATCTCACCTCGGCGACTCCCACCTCCAACCATTGTTGTCAATTGCTTCTTCTAACCATTGTCACCGGTTGCTGCCTCCTATTTAAATGTCACTTGGCGCCATTTGAATGTCACTTGGCCTCGATTTGAAACCTTGGCTAAGGCCTCAAAAATAATTGGGCCACCTCTTTGCATTGACGGGATAATGTCATAAATATATTTTTTTTATATTTAATTGTTCTAGACCTATATGAAAGTGTGAGTGGGTATGAGAGAGAAAGGTACTAACAAAGTGATATTGAATAATTTAGAGAGAGAGCGGGAAAGGGGTTTGATTTTATCCGTATCAAGTACATACAGTTAGGGGTGTTCGCAGATCGGTTTTTAACGATTTGATTTATGATTTAGACCTGTTCGTATGTTTGTGGTTTAAGAAAAATTGAATCTATAACCGGCTGTAATGTGAGTTGTGGTTTGTACGAATAGGGTTCGCGAATATAAGGACGGTTTGCAAATTGAGTTTTTACCTTTAAAATTTTATATTTTTTGCTTTTTTTTTTTTTAAATTTTTTAAAATTTTTTAAAATATTTTTGATTGCGGGAGATTCAACACTATTCTCCATTAAAATTGGATTACAAAAAATTATGGTTATTTGGGATGATCTAAATAGGTATAATTTTTAATTTTTTTACGAAAAGATGTATAGAAAAGTAAAGAGGTGATATGACCCAAATAAAATGTACTTATCTAAGGGATTGTTTGGGATGATCTAAATAAGTGTACTTTTTGATTTTTTATGAAATATGGGTTGTGTTTGAAGTGATGTGGCAGAGAGATAATGTGATTTAAATAAGATGATTTATTTCATCTTATTTAAATCACATTATCTCTCTACCACATCACTTTAAACCCAACCCATATTTCACGTTTTTTCGTAAAAAGTTAAAAAGTACACTTTATTTAGATCATTCCAAACAATCCCTTAAATAGGATAATGACTTTTTGACTTTTTGATTTTTTTGTGTTATGCCAAACTTAGCCTAAATTAGTGCACTTATATCCATCATGTCAAAAAACTAATATAGAAAGAAAAAAAAAAAATCACCTAACTAGATTTACAAAAATTAAAAAAAAAATCAATTAAGGGGTTGTTTGGGGTGTCTTAAATAAGTGTATTTTTTGTCTTTTTGAACTAAAAAATTGAGGAAGAAAATATAGATGTTTGGGTTAACGTTTTGACTTTTTATGGAAAAATGTGTAATAAAAAATTATAAAAATTGATTTGTAAGAGAAAATTAGAGTTGAGAGTTGTGTAGCCGTAATTGTTGACTTTTGGTAAATAGTGTTAACTTTTTAACTTTTTGAATAACTTTTTGACTTTTGACTTATTCTGAACTTGCCAAACTTGGCCTAAATAATAAATATTTCAAACAAGACAGTGTGCAATATTATTATAATGTTATAATATTAAAACTTACAAGTTTGATAATCAGATTAAAGTGAGTAAGAAAAGAGAAGATTAAGGTTATATATTTACAAAACTTATAAGAAAATCTGATGGTCCAGATTTAAAAAATAAAAACAAAAATTGTATACAAATGCTGGCGGGTGAGTGCGGATGAAACTCGCAAACCGCAAAATAGAAAAATCTTAAACCGCATCCGACCTTAATAATTTTGTGAATCCGCCCAAATAGGTGAGGGCAGTTCAGATTGGACGGTTTTCGCAGGTCAAATAACCCTATGCCCAACCCTATTTAGAGTAGGTTGGATTTTCGCAGGTCACTTTTTAACTTTTAATCTCTTTTCAATTATATCACTTCTCTATTTTTTTTTATATGTATATATTTTTTAAAACAATAAAAAAAGTTAAAAAAATTAATTTTTAACTTACTAATATATTAGTTGATTCTATTTATAAGGTGATTTTTTTTAAAAAACTTTTTACATGACATCTCTTTCGTCGTTTTTGTTCTTACAATAATGATAGAGGGCCATAATTTCTGTGGCTCAAATGGCTCGAATTTGCCAAAATGACGTCGTTTTGAGTACAAAACAACATTAAAATTGCCAAAACGACGTCGTTTTGGCAAATTTGAGCCATTTGAGCCACAGAAATTAGGGCCCTCAAACATTTTCCTTGTTTTTATACAGACATGGTTTTTGGAAGTTCAAAAATAAAACTTTTGATATTTCTTAAAATTGGTTATTTCTAATTGTCAAAATTAAATTTTTTAAAACAGATCATCAAAATAAAAACAAAAAATGGAAACATAACCCAGCATTACTGTAATCTATATTTGCTGTTTCATATACGCATTTACACAATTTATTTGCAATTTTACTAACTCTCAATTTCCAATCACATTATTTTGTTTCTTTGATTTATTTGCATTTGCCAAATAATAAAAGATATCATCCAGCCAAAAAAAAAAAAACAAAAAACAAAAATCAAAGTACAATTTAATTATCTAGTATATTTTTTAAGGAAATTTATTCAAAATCCCTTTATTGGACTCTTATTTGGTGAAAAGGACAGTACAATTTATTTTTCTTCATAAACCCCTCTAAGGAGAAAACACATAATTGAGTAAGGACAAAGTAAAATATTTTTTCCCCCCATGTTACTGTGAACCAGAGTAACATGTTACTGTCAAATAGAGTAACATGTTACTGTTAAATAGAGTAATTGTCAAATAGAGTAACATGTTATTATGAGATAAAGTAACATGTTACTGTTATTGTTTACATTAATTTCAACGGTAATAATTTTTAAAAAAAAGAATTTCATAGTCAATATCGACCATATTTGATAGATCTTGATGAGAGAATTTTAAAAATATTAATTTTATTAAAAACTAACATCTACATTAAAAGTTATATTATTTTAAAATTTAATATTTTGATAATAGTAATATTTGTTGAACTTTTAAGGAATTTTTTTTGAATAGAGCAACATGTATATTAATTTTAATGGTAATAATTTTTTTTTAAAAAAAATTTCACAATCAATATAGATCTTATTTGATAAATCTTGATGAGAGAATTTTAAAAATATTTATTTTATTAAAAATCAATATTTACATTAAAAGTTATATTATTTTAAAATTTAATATTTTGATAACAGTAATATATATTGATTTTTTTTTTAAAAAAAAAATTCACGTATACTTAATACATTAAAATGGGTTGGCTTTTTGACTATATGAGCCTGGGCTCAAAAGCTTAGTTTGGGAAGGGCTTTTGGCTTTTTGGCTTTTTTGATTTTTTTGTGAGAGAAGAGTGTAATGATTATGGGGTTGGATGGGATGTTTTGTCTGTTGTAGCTCATGAGCCTATTTTGTTTTTATGGCTCATTGAGCCAAAAAAACCCAATGAGCCCTTGCCAAACCAACCCTAAATCTCCTTATTTTTTGAAGTGTTGAGGAGGGACACGTGAGTCTACAACGCGCATTGCAAGTTATATAAATGAATATAAACAATAAATGCTGTCATCGTCTTTGATCCTTCTAACTGGCGTGTAATTAGGGGTGTAATTTGGGCAAGTTTTGGTGGTTCGGAGCTTGTTTAAATTCAATTTAAATTGTATTGGGATTTGTTCAGACCTGTCTAATCGTCAATTGTAGCACGAGATTGCTTGTCTAAGCCTGATTCGAGTTAAACTCGAGTTGCCTAAATTGTACATAAATTTTAGTATTTTTTTTTGTGTGTGTGTGTGCGCGCGCGCACGCGCAGTTGCATTACTAAATTATTAAAATTTAACTTTATTTACATTTTTTTATTATAGAAAATCATTAATACCACCAAAACAAATAATTTATATAATGTAAGAGAGATACCACTATAGTAGTCTTTATAATTTATAAGTGAAAATAATAAAAATAAGATTTTATATTATTTGTATATATAATATATATTCAATATAATTTAATAATTTAAATTATTTTAATATCATGTAATGACTAATAATTTATATGTATATTAATATTTTTATATATCTATATATGTATAATTTAGGTTTCGAGTTGCTCGGATTGTTTGACGTTTTTGCCCAAACCCGTCTAAATTTAATTCGGGCTTTTGAACTTTTGTCCAAGCCCGTACTGAATTTGAAAATATCTTGTCTAAATCTTAAAAAAATTCAAGTTAGATTCGGGTTGCTCGGATTGAGCCCGCCCAAATTGCACGTCTACTCCTAACGCTTCTAAATAAGTCTACTTTTGGCAATACTGTTAAAAGTTAATTTTTTGTTTATTTTGAATCACATTATCTCTTACATTTTTAAAAAAAAATTAAAAAGTTAATTTTTAACTATCTTTTCAAAACAACTCTAAATGTTACCATCTAAGCTAAATAAATGCTGCTGTCGTCTTCAAACTCCCTAACGTCTCTAAACACTCGTTTGGGATGTAGGGTAGGGTAGGGTTGGATTAAATTAAAATAATCACAAAAAGATAAAATAAAATTTTTAATCCTCAAATTAAAAGTTGTCACATTAATCTATAATTATTTTATTCTATTATAAAAATTAAAAAACTCATCCCAATCAATATTATTTTAATCCTAAATTCAAATAACTAAAAAATCAAAAAAAAATTAAGAAAAATGTTTGGTGGCCTGAATTTATGTGGCCCAAATAGCTCAAATATGTCAAAACGACGTCGTTTTACACTAAAAAAATGTCATTTTAAGACATTCAAATCATTCGAGCCAAGAAAATTTAAACCACCTAATATTATTAAAAAATTAAAAAGCCAACTTTATATTCTGAACGAAATATAAATAAATGTTGCCTTCTTCAAATAAATGTTGTTATCTTCTTGGTGTCTGACGAGAGTGGAACCTCTTAAGAAATGCAACCAGAGATATGTTAGGAATTTTAAATATTTTATCAAATATTTTATCAAATTTTTTATATAGGTGTGTGATTCACACACATGTAAATTTGTGTGAATCTCACCTCATATAAGAAATTTGATAAAATATTTGGTAGAATGTTTGATACATGGCTTCGTTTGGGAAGTGGTTTGATTTTTTGGTTTTTTGATTTTTTTTGCCTGGGCTAAAAAGCTTGATTTGGGAAGAGTTTTTTGAATTTTTGACTTTTTGACTTTTTTGGTTTTTTTTTGAGAGAATAGTGTAATGATTATGGGTTGAATATGATGTTTTATTTGTTGTAGCTAAAATAGTCTATTTTGTCTTTTATGAATAACATAACCAAAAAAATCCATAAACCATCTTCCCAAACGGAGCCACTTGAAACCTTGTCCCAAAAAAAAAAAAAAGTTTAATTACATTAACATCCTCTCAGTTGTTAACAAATATTATTTTACACCCACTTTCTATCAATTAGTACTTTTTGAACCCAAAAAATAAAAAATAAAAAAACCCCCCCTTCTCTCTCTCTCTCTCTCTCTCTGATTGCCTCGAACTCAAGCTCTGCTTCGATCAATACCAGTTCAAAGGTATGTGTATCTTCTCTTGTGATCCCATTCTTTTGTGACTTTGAATTTGATAATAATCGTATGCTTATCCCCAATCATCACTTAATCATGGTTATTGTGCTATCTTTCAGTGTTTTACAATCTCTTATAGCAATTCAGTTTGTTAGAAATGATTTACTCGATTCAAATTTTGATCTTTTAACTTTTGATTTGTACTCGTTTGAATTCTGTATCTGTCTGTATACGTATTTCGGTTGTTGTATTCGAAATTGGGCTTAGGGTTTTACATGGGTTCTCAGTGCTTTTGTGTGTTGTTGATTAATTAACTAAGTTTTTGTTGCCTTAATGCATTGTTTGAATCTGAGATTTGTTGAGGGAAATTTGCTTGTACTTGTTCAATTTTATGTGGGTAACCAAACAAAAATATGATTTTTAATTTTTTTTTTTTCAGGAATGTCTATTTGTTTTTTTCTCACTTTCTTAGTCCAACCAAACAAAAGCAAAGAATTTAGATCATTTTTTTCATTTTCCTTCCCTTTTCGCTTTCTTTCTCTTTTTCCCTCAACAAATTCTAAAACCAAACAGAGCATAAACGAGTAAGAGAGAAAAGAAGAGATAATGCTATGAAAAGGGTTGCTATATTTGTCAAGGAACTAAATCCTTTTGGAAGTGTGTATGTGTTCTTTTAGATCTTAATTTGGTGCTGAAAAAGTGCTCATATCCTTCTCTCTCTCTCTCTCTCTCTCTCTCTCTCTCTCTCTGTTATCTTCCATCTTTGCTCTCTCTGCATCTCTATCTCCACCCGATCATCCCTGCCTCTCTATATCTCTCGCGCAGATCCCTCCATCTATATCTCGATGATCGTCCCTGCCTCTCTCTTCCCTTTGTTTTATCTCTCTCTAATCCCTGACAAAACAAGCAGATGAACAAGACGAAGCTTGAGATTCTTGAAATCGTCTGAAATCTAGCATGCATCTTTAAGTCCAGGTATTTATTTTTCTAAAATTGTCTTTCTTATGATGGAGAATTGCTTAAAAGTTGATTCAAACTGCTTGAGATTAGTTGAGATTGCTTGAAATTTGTTTGATATTGGTTGAAATATGTTTGAAATTGCTTGATTATTGTTGTTGTTGTTTTTAGTTTGTTTGTCTTTTTGGTGAATTGTTAAGTATTTTATTCGCATTTCACCTACCTTTTCCCCTCCCCTTTCAAAATCCCTTTCCAAATCTATGAACCAAACACAACATTAAGGAGGTCTTAAAATTCATAACAATGTATCAATTTGTACATTGTTGATTTTGGGTTTTGATTATGTGTTTGCAGCTTTATGAATTAAACTAGAGATCTTTATAGAAATAGTGAGGAGCTAAAACCAATAGCCATTTTTAATCCATTAATTCGAAGGACCTGTATGAAAGTGTGGTAACCACTATTAGATCGCCTACTGGAGAGACAAGTGAATTTCTAATTACTATGGAGTTGCACCAAGGATCAACCTTGAGTCCTTATCTTTTTATTTTAGTTATAGATGAGTTAACGAGAAATATTCAGGATGATATGCCATTGTGTATACTTTTTGCAGATGATATTGTGTTAGTAGATGAGACTAAAGAAGGAGTTAACACTAATGTGGAGATTTGAAGAGAAACATTTGAATCTAAAGGATTTCGGATAAGTAGAACTAAGACAGAGTACCTGAAACAATGGCAATGTTTGGAAAGTTGGCTATTTGGCTTTTGTCTTATTGACTATTGTGGGTGAGACGTATGGTTAGGGGTAGTCTAGGAAGATGGCGGGTACTTTAATGGCCTGAGATCACTGGAGGTGGAGAGGAGGAGGTCGAGGCAAACTTGGAGAGGGAGAGGTTGGCAGTGATGGACCTTGAACACTAATGTAGAGTGTGAGAGGGGATGTTTAAACGTGGGATTTAGTGTGTTAGAATTATGGTGTTGTGTTGTTGTTGTGTCTTGCTGCATATACGATACGTTATATAGGCCACAGGAGTATTGGAGCCTAAGCAAACTGTTGAACAGGTAGCTTGTTCTCCTCAACTCTACTAGAAGTGATATAAGCCCTTCTGCCGTCTGTGGCTTGACGGCAGGCGGGGAGCAACATTTCATTGCAGGCGGAAGGTAATGTTTCGTATATGCATTGGATGACATGAATGTAAGGTTGTTGTTGCCTCTACCTGAAGCCTAGTCGAGATGGAGTTGTCTTAGCAAGAAGACAACCATGTCGACGATCCCATGACCTCAGTCGCCAGTCCAATATCCTCTGATGATCCCGAGCAGTGGTGCTTGGGTCCTGCTCCCAACCCAGGCATCCAAATAGGTGAATGGGCTAGGGCCCACCTCGGTGTTTAGGAGAGCTAGGGGCCCGCTTCCAAGTGACCAAGTAGGAGAATGGGCCGCAGGCCTATCTCAATATTTAGGAGAAGGGCTCGCTTCCAAACGACCAAGTAGGAGAATGGGCCGTAGGCCTATCTCAATGTTTAGGAGAGTCAGTATTTATCAATCCAAGTCCAAGTGAACTGGGGGCTGATTATATTGTTTTTTGGTCTTGGAGCGAGCTATGAAGGACCATGGGCCCTACGGGGCCATGGTGCTGCTTGTTGCAGGGCTCTTCATATTTAGATATATTTGGGCTTATATGTATGCTTTCGCTTAGGCTAAGCATATAGTCTTGGTTTTGCGTGGTACCTTGGCACACAGCACCTGTAAGGCTCGCTAGGTATCAAACATATGACATGTCCACATAGTGCCTTATTGGTCTGCCACATGGGTGGGTTTTTGGTGATTGGCACCCATAGGGCTTGCCACGTATTGGGCTTGATACAAGCACCCACAACTATTTTGGTTTATTTTGTCTTTTAGTGGGTATTTTAGCCCAACCGTCTTTCCAAACACCCTAAATGTGAAAATTGAGAACCAAGAGTTACCTAAGAGTGAACATTTTCGTTATTTAAGATCGATTATCACAATAGCTATGGAGATTGGAGCAGATGTGGTCCATAGAATTAAGGTGAGGTGGCTTAAGTGGAGGAGTGCATCTGGGGTACTGTGCTATAAACAAGTACCCACTAGACTAAAAAGAAAGTTATATAGAACGGCTATTAGACCAATAATATTGTATGGGACGGAATGTTGGGCAATTAAGAAACAACATATAGATAATATGAGTATTGCTGAGATGAGGATGCTAAGGTGGATGTCTGGTAAAACTAAAAAAGATAGAGTTAGAAATGAGTATATTCGTGAATAGGTAGGAGTAGCTCCGATAGAAGATAAGCTCAGAGAGAATAGATTGAGATGGTTTGGTCATATACAACAGAAACCAACAGAGGCAGAAGTGAAGAGATGCGATACAGTAACGGTAGATGGAAGTATTAAGGGAAATGGCAGATCTACATTGACATGGGCAAGTATAGTAAGTACAGATATGGATTTCTTAATTTGACTAACCAGATGGCCGTTGATAGAGTCGGGTGGAGAAAAATGATTCATGTAGCCGATCCCATTTGATGAGATTTAAGGCTTGGTTTGGTTTGGTAATTCGAAGGAAATGATGTTGCCCTGAAAAATAAGGCACACAAAAACAGACAGCACAGTGCACAATGATAAAAATAAAGTCAAGCTTCCTTGAATTAATGCACTCTGTTTTCTGTTAAGGTATGCCTTTTGCATGTATTTCGATTTGCTACAGTCTGGTCTAGTGAACTACAAAGTAACTGAACGTAGATTATCGCAAGATTGAGTGCTTTCTGTCTTTCAAGTTTTTATATCAAGTTTTTGGTGCGCTTGTTTGGGGGTGGGGATAAAGGGCCTACGTGCCACTGCTGATTCCATATCAAGAATGTGCAATTTAAACATACCATTTGGCAGGACTGTTTGGCATTGATTTTAGCCATCTCAAAAAAGTTTAGTAGTGTTCGTGGAAGTTAACGTGTGATGATTTCTTCTTCTTTTCTTCATAAACTCGAGGGGTTGGTTTTCTGTCTGCAGGGTGTGAGTTGCAGCAAATTACACATTCTGGTTTTCTTTTTCCATAGACTCGGTTACCATTGGTTCAAGTAAAATGGAAACTGAACAAGAAGCACAGACATCCTTAAATCAGGCAGGAAGTTCCGATGGATCTAACCTAAATGGCTCGAATCTTGTGGCACGTGTCAAGAAACTGCTGTTTCGGCAAATGCTGGTGGGGATCAGTGACGGACGATTTTTCGTGGGCACATTCTACTGCATTGATAAGCAAGGAAATATCATTCTCCAAGATGCACTGGAGTATCGGAGCGCCCTTGCTCTTCCCCTTCCCCCATGGAACAGCGTGGCCTCGGTCTCATTCTCATCCCCTTTTCTTGCCGAACATCATGTCATGTTGGTTGCTCCATTGAAGAACAAATTTCACTACTATCACTAAAGGAATAGAGGAAGCAGCTTCAATTACCATCCATCTTCGTCACAACCGATCAAGTAAGACACTTATCTGGTTTGTTATCAGTAACTGCTGCAACCAATTGTTTCTTGGTGACACACATGCTCATGTATTTATGCTGCATACATTATGTGTGAGTGTGTGTTTGAACTTGGACCTTCAAAATCAGACTGTTTTGAAATATTTTTGGGTTATATCTGTTGGGAGAGTGCAGAACTTAGCTAATTGATCTTATTTTGAAAATTTCATTGATTTTGGATGATAGGGTCAGGATTAAACCTTTATTTATTTGATTTTTTTACTCTGCAATATGAAGCTTGTGGTGATTAGCATTCAGGAGTGCTGAGGAGGTAAAAGCAGCAAACCTACATGAGCTATGGTAGCTCTGTTTGGAAACAGTTGCACTTATCATTTGTAGTGAATCACCTGAAATCATCCACTACGAATTGGTTTATCTCAACACATTAACCCACCAAAAGATTGTCAAACTGTAAACAAAAAAAATGGCCTCCTCCTTGTGCTGCTTCATCTTCGTCTTCTTCCTCTTCCTCTACCTCCTGCTGCTGCTGCTCTTTTTTTTAATTTTAATTTTTTTTACTGCTGGCTCTTATATATACATTCAATGCAATAATTCACAAAATTACACACATTGAATAAGCGACGGGCCTGTTTAGTGTAGTTTATTCTAGGTTAAAAATCAATGATCAATACTCTGAAGGCATTATTCTCCAAACTTCAATTTAATTAGCTTTTTAGTTTTTAATTTTTTGTTTACCACATAAGATATAAACAAAAGTTACATAAAACGGTTTAGCACAAAATTTTAAAAGTTTAGAAAAAAAAGGTTATAAATATTCCATTTACATTGCAATAAGCGATAGAGAAATTGTGTTGTAGGCTACTGTACTTTAGCGAAGTCTAGTGTTTCTTATGTTTTTAGCTTATTTATTTTTTAGCTCATAATATGATGGGACTTTAAGGCTTGATTTGATTTGGTTATTTTTTAGCTCAAAATAAGTTTAAAAAACCAATTTTTTAAAAATTAAATTTGATATTTTTTTTTAAAGCTACTAATAAATTTTACCAAACAGTGCTCTAAGGATTAGGAGGATCCGTATTAGTATTCTAAAGCACAACTTTCTCAATTGGTGAAACTCCACTGTGAGTTGTTCTTATTCATGATTGTAAGTGATAAAAAAAGAAAATTCTCACTACAAAACTCCACGGCATTTACACTTGTCACTGTAGAAGGATAACAAAGTACAAGACAAGATGCAAACAAAAAACATAAGAAAGGAGACCTGATATAAGTGCATTTGTAAAGTGTCCTTTTCTGGTTAACTTCCTAACTTTGGCAGATCCGATATTGAACCGCTTGGAGCCGAATTTGCCTGTTAGATCTTTGAATGAACTCCTCAACTCTTCTCTTCAGGTCTTCATCTGACATGTTTGAAAACTCATTTTCTTCTTTCTTTTCATTCTCTGACTTGCCTAGAATAATCTTGTTTTCATTGTTGATGGCTGGAATATCTCTGTTCGACATGCTATGAACACATCTTGCTTCATTTTTCTTTTCCTCTTGAGCTTCATTGTCAACTTCTGGACTGAATTCCGGTATCTTTTCTTGAAAATTGTCACTAGACCTTTCCAAATCATTCTTTTTGAAATTTTCCAATTTATTTTCTGGGAATTCGCTCTTGTGAACGACAACCACCTCTTTGATTTTCTCTGGACTTTCTTTACAAAGGCATACACCATGGCCAAAATTTTGTTGTGCAGTGCTTGTCTCGACAATTTCCCGGTATTGTGATTCAAATGATGGAAAGCTATTTGCTTGACTTTTTTTCACGTACTCTTCGTAGAGGTCGGATTGTGTTTTTGATGAAGAGAATGCACCAAAATCCGCAGCAATGATGAGAATGAGAGTGTTGGAAATGAAAAACCAGAACTTGGTAGTGTTGAGGAGGGTGGAAGGAGAGAGGTTGAAGCTATAGAAGATGGAAATGTAGATGAAAATGGATAAAAGAAAAGCCCATAAAGATGTTACATTTGCTCTTTGGAGATAGAATTGTGGTCTGTTTGGTTTCAATGTATTCTCAGCTAGGTTTAGCACTGCCATTTTTAGAGGAACAAGAGGTTGAGAGATACTGAGGGAGGTTTGAGCTTTGGAATTGACTTTGATTTTCAAAATTTTAGTTGGTGGAAGTTCAAAATGATAAGGGTAATTTATAGGGGTTTCCAATTGAAAAGGACATGTCAGGCTAGATTCTAAGGACTTTTCTTAAGTGTGCAACTTACACCTTACACATACGCCTTTCTGTTTGCTGTCCTGTTTTATGTTTACACCTTCCATTTACACCTTTTATGTTGGTTGTATATGGTGTGCAACCTTAAGGGGTTGCACACCATAACAGTACCCCTAGTTCAAAGGTGGCTAATAATTGAGCCCATGCAAAATTACAAATTGGCCCTAGCCAATATTCATTATGCCACTATCCATTGTCCTTCCTCAAATGTTTCCTATGATATTTGTAATTTATAAATTATTTTGGTTGTTTTTTTTAATATATATATATTTTATTTTAAAGTAGTAGGACCTAAAATCAATAATGTTAGTTCATATGCAAATTTTGTATTATTATTTTTATTTACATATATTTACTCATTTGACAATAATCAAATTATTATTCTCATTACTGTAGCAAGTTTTAAGTTCCTGTATTTATTTTCGTGGTGCCCACATGAAACTATTACTCATTCCATTATAGTCTGAATAAAGTATACACAACTTACTCAAAAGAAAAAAAATAATAATAATTTGATTTCTATAATACCACCCAACACCCAATAATAATAATAATAATAACTTTATTAGATAAGTAACATAGAACCTCCTTAACCAAAGTAAAGAATTAAATAGAATTTGATGTCCTAATTAAAAAAGGTAAATTACATGTTACTCCCCAAAGTGTTGATTGAAGTTAAAGGTCTACAATAATAATATCATTATTATATATCAAAATTATGTATAAATTTTTTATTTGTATAGCATTACTCTTCTTACTTTTAACCGTTAAATTGAAAAAATATATATATTTTCAATTTAGTTTATTCCAATATTGTTCAATTCCTAATTTTCACTCAATAAATTGATTGAAAATGCTACTTGGTGCCAAGTGGCAAGAATATAACCATTACACGTGGTGGTATATGGTATTTTTCGTCAATTAATTGAAAGAAAGTTAACATATGAACAATAATGAAATTTTTTTTTTTAGGGATTTAAGTTGTTTTTTTAATCTCTTTTTTTATTTTTTTATTTATCAATTTGCAATAATTTTTTTTGGACCTGAACAGCTTTTCTTTGGTTGGTAAAATGTAATTTTCACTCAATAAATCGATTGAAAATACTACTTGGTGCCAAGTGGCAAGAATATAACCATTACACGTGGTGGTATATGGTATTTTTCGTCAATTAATTGAAAGAAAGTTAACAGTTGAACAATAATGAAAAAAATAATTTAGGGATTTAAGTTGTTTTTTTAATCTTTTTTTTATTTTTATTTTTTTTATTTATCAATTTGCAATAATTTTTTTTGAACCTGAACAGCTTTTCTTTGGTTGGTAAAATGTAATTTTCACTCAATAAATTGATTGAAAATATTACTTGGTGCCAAGTGGCAAGAATATAACCATTCAAAAATGATACAGACCCATAAACACCCCACCTCCACGACTCTCACGCACATGTGTTAGAGAGATAGGAAAAAAAGAAAAAAAAAACACATGACCAATCACAATTATTTAGGAGTCATGGAGGTTCTCCAAAATGAGGTTCCAAGTATTTTTCATAACCATTACACATGGATATGGTACTTTTCGTCAATTAGTTGAATGAAAGTTAACAGTTGAACAATAATGAAAGAAAAAAAAATAATAATTTAGGGATTTAAGTTGTTTTTTAATTTTTTTTCCTATCAATTTGCAACAATTTTTTTTTGGACTTGAACAGCTTTTCTTTGGTTGGTAAAATGGAATTTTCACTCGATAAATTGATTGAAAAAACTACTTGGTGCCAAGTGGCAAAAATATAACAATTACACGTGGTGTTATATGGTATTTTTTTTTGTCAATTAATTGGATGAAAGTTAACAGTTGAACAATAAGAAAAAAAAATAAAAATAAAATTAGGGATTTAAGTTGTTTTAATTTTTTTTTTTTTAAATCCATTTGCAATAATTTTTTTGGTCCTGAGCAGCTTTTCTTTGGTCGGTAAAATGTGACAGCTCACTTAGCTAAATTTAAAGGAAACCCAAAAACAAAAGCCACGTCATCATAACACGACACCGTAAAATACAGGTGGCAATTTTCAATTCATCGACTTTTTTTTTTAATACTTTTATTGAAGATGCGTTACTCAAGCGTTAAGCTTCTAGGACTTTCCAAGGCTATTTCACAGTGCACCAAAGAGCGTCCTACCTTTTTTTTTTCTTACTTTCGACGTGTCACTTTCGTAGAAATGGTCCACCATTCTCTCTCTCTCTTATTTTATTAGGTAAATTAGAAATACATAATGAAATTTATTTAAAATATAAATTACCCTATATAGTTTGAAAAATTATAAATACTCTTCTATTAGAATTTTTTATTTAATAGAATTAATTAAAAAAATAAAATTTATAATTGCATTTTTATACAATAATAAAATTATTTAAATTATTAATTAAAATATATTTTTAACATCATTAAAAATTGTTAATTAATTTTATGATTTATTATTAAAAGGGACGATTTGTTATGAAATTAGAAATTTAAGAAGGTAAAATATAATTTTCAAAATTATAAGAAACGATTCGTATTTTAATCAAAACTTAAAGAGTATATTTATAATTTGCACTATTTTATTTGATTTTAAATTTATTTATCCAATCTACATTTATATCTCTTATTTGACGGCTAAGGTCAACTTTTGCTTGCGGACCCACATTCATTTTTTTTTTCGAGAGCGAAAGTAATCATAGCATTAGACATTAAATTAATCATATTTTACATGTTATCAAAAATTAACCATTGCCATGTCATTGTGACCATTTTTAATTCTCACATAAATTAAGGATAAAAATATATTTGTAATATTATTAATTACTTCATATACTCTTAATTTCTTAATAGTTGAGTGTTTGAATAAATTTACGTACACTTCATATTTTTTTTGTGACATACATTTTTTACTAGTTATTAGATTATTATTATTATTAACCTCTCACTCTTTAAACTCATAAATTATCATACAAGTTTGGCATTTACAGATCGAGTAATTCAAGTAATTGTGTGTCTAATCAATGATATTTTATGATTTATTTATTATTTATCTTATTTTTTAGATCATGTAAATATATAATTTTCTATTGACTTTGTTTGGCTGGAGGTTATTTAGGTTAAATAGTCAATAAAGATAAAATAGATTAAAATAATTAATAAGATAAAATGTCATATTCAATTCATAATTATTTAATTTTTTTTCTTATAATCATCAAATCAACTATAAAAAAATCAATTATCATCTAAACATAATTTTTTTTAATTAGGCTAAAATAATCAAAATAAAATAAAATAAAATAAAATAAAATAAAATAAAATAATCAATTAAAATAATATATTTTTAAACGGGCCATTATTAGACAGATAGGTAACCAAGATGTCATTATGAGAGGATAGAATAATAACTTTTTTAGACTTGTTTTTGTACAATAAATTTCAAGTACTTGGGTTGTTTGGGATGTTTTAAATGCATTTTTTGACTTTTTGGGTTAAAAAGTAGAGGAAAAAATATGATTGTTTGAAATAATTTTTTAATTTTTTATGAAAAAATATATATTAAAATATTATATAAATAGTAAAATTACCATTTTGCCCCTACTATAATGAATTGCTTACTGACTTGGATTGTCCAGGAAGCCAGACGATGGGCAGGAAACAAGTAAAATTACTATTTTGCCCCTACTATAATGAATTGCCTACTGACTTGGATTGTCCAGGAAGCCAGACGATGGGCAGGAAACAAGTGTAGGAGCAGATTATCTATAGTCCAAGATCGAATTAGATGGTGCTGTTTGGCCTGTGGGGGCCCACCATAGCTCTTGTTTTGATAATTGAAACCGTTCAATGTGTAAAACTCGTCGATATTATATGCTTGTAAAAAATCATGTTGATCGGATATCAATAACTATCTGATCAAAACAGTTTTGTATGAAAAAAAATGACGGTGAAAAATAAACGGCTGGCAAAAATCTGATTTGATCACATAGCTATCCATATCCGATCAACGTTATTTTTTACAAGCATATAGTACTCGACGAGTTCTACACATTGGATCGTTCGGATTATCGAAATTGAACCCGTGGTGAGCTCCACGGGCCCAACAGTACCCTCAAACTTAATGAATATATATCTAATTTGTAATTTGTACCATCGCAGTGCACTGTGTAATTTTCTTCATCACTTCAGTACCATCACTTGTGTAAAGTTAGATTGTACTTTTTTTTGTATAAATTAAATTTTTTTATATTTTTAATTTGCGAATAGTGATAACTTTTTTTAGTTTTTGATAATTTTTTGACTTTTTATATTTTTTTATAAGGGTATGGCTTCTGTCCAGTCCGGGATCGGACTGGACCGTGCTGTTGGGCCCATGGGGCCCACCACAGATCCCGTTTTGATAATCTAAACCGTTTAATGTGTAAAACTCGTCGAGTACTATATGATTGTAAAAAATCACGTTGATCGGATATCGATAGCTATATGATCAAATCAGTTTCGTATTAAAAAAATTGGACGGTGAACAAATTAACGGTTGACAAAAAACTATTTTGATCACATAGCTATCGATATCCGATCAACGTGATTTTTTACAGGCATATAGTACTCGACGATTTGTACACATTAAACGGTTCAGATTATCAAAACGAGACCCTTGCTGAGCGTCTACGAACCCAACATCGGTTCAGCTCGATCCCGAATTAAACAGAAGTCATACCCTTTTTATAACATGCCAAACCAGTTCTTAATAATCAATTTTGTTAAGTTTGGGAGAAACTTTTGAAAATTAAAATCAAGAAA